GTGGATAGCAATTAGGACCCATGGTAGAAATAGAAAGTATGAACCAATGGGCATTCGGGGGTTCTCCAGAAGTATGCGCAGCAGGATGTCGCACAACCTGAATCATCACCGGTACACACATACTATGTTCAGGTTGTGCGCCATATTTCTGGAGGTCCCATTCGGGTATAACCTGTTACAAATTGTCCAAACAATTTTCAGGTATTGTGACTGACATAAAAATGCCAGTTGAATCAACATATTATTTTAATTTATAAAGAATTAATGCGAATAAATAGTGTTTTCACCAAATTGATTCCACCAAATCTAATATATTGACAATACAACCATCCTGTAAGCCTAGTGTTTGGACTAAACAATGTTGGCATGTCTGATTAAAGAACCCAGGTCATATGCCCACCACCTCCAAGTTCAATCACCACCGCACCCAGAGTGTTGTATAGAGTGATGAACAGGATTATTTCAAGTGATTTCGTGCGATATAGAAGTTCCATATTCGGTACTCCTGTAGTATGTGAACCTAGATGGCAGACACCAGAATAGGGTTAGGCTATACCGATAATTTCAGGTATAAATACTATGGGAGTCACTTGACTGGTTCCTGAACTCGTAATAGGACTAAACAAGGAAAATTAGAATAAAATTATAGCCTGTACTTACTACGTTCCGGTGTCTATAGTCTCGGTTCACATACTACGGGAGTACACCATATTTATCATTGGATGCTTGTTCAGGGCAATGGTAGCCATAAGAATACCTCAAAAATATTTATATATAGCAGTCACAGATATCTAACAATATGTAAAGAGCTAGTATTCATTTGAAAGGACCAGAATGTATACAGCTTGTCATTACCAACCCAATCTAATACACTCTGGGTGAGGTGAGGAGTGGAATCTAAACATGAGCACTGTCAAGTCTTACGCTTTAGCTGCTCAGGCTGTTTCAATTATTTCATAAAATGCCCATATCCATGTCGCCTAGGGCATTCTACTTATTGATATGCCCATTAGCCATACAGCAATGACACAAATATATTTTCTCAAAATATTCACCATTTTCATCTTATAAATTAGTTGATCAAAGACACCATTTGCACAATGGCTGTAATGGCATTATTGCTTTGACCTTTGATGTAGTTTTGATTTAGGCGAGGTCAACGTCTCAGTTCAGTATCCCATGCAGTAAAAGTGAAACCAGTGTTGCAGAAAATTCTTTCTTGTCTTTAACTTATTCACAATACCCCTCATATACTCTGTGAAATGAAATAAATATTATTATGTGAGTCAATCGAAAAAAAAAGACAATCTGTGCATTATGATAGGGCAGCTTATTCACACACAATATGCTTGTGTTATATTTATTATATCTATCCAGGCTCCACATTTCCCAAACTCCAAAACTAATTTTTTGTCTCTGGTAAAATTCCAGTATCTCTGAAAAATATTATTCATTTGCCTTGTCCAGAGGTAAAATCGTAAAAACGTGAAAAAAAAAACATTTCCCATATTATTAAAATCACCATATCCTACACACTGTTTTGTCATCACTTCAATAGTGGATTGTCAAAGAACCTACATGAAATCAAAAGAACTGGGTGGATATGAAAGTGGGACCTTGAACCCATATTGTCAATAAAAACTACACTGCACCTAGTGTGTCTCATTGAAGATTGCGCTTTTGAGTTTGCATTTTAAAAGCTTCAAAATCATGTTATTGTGACATCATATGTGACAGTAGAGCACTCTATGATGTATTTAGGGCTGGGCTTTTCAAATCGAATTATTAGAATCGGAGAAAATATCATGTGAACAAGCAACCCTTTATCTACCTTTGATACCAATGCAAGTTCCTTACTCAATTCAGTTTCAAGTGATGATTATCCAACTTGTTATTTCAAGAATTTAAGACTATTCATATGGATGCATGTTGGGAAAAGTGGGCACAGCAATATTTTGCCAAAGTGTCAAATGAATAAAACTATCTCACCCATCCATCATACTTGGAATCCTTTTTCCAATGCTTCTTTCAGTTTCATTAAATGGTTTGGATCTGGATATCCATTGCTGAAAAAAAATAATTCATGAACTCTGTTTGAGCATGTTCCTAGAAAAATAATGGAAATTCGGTTTTCTGTTTAACAATAACAGATCCTGCCCAGAGAGTATTGAAATACAGAATTCGGTTCTAGGAATAAAAAAATTTCGGCGCTCCTGTAGCATGTGAACCAAGATTGTGGACACCGGAATGTGGTATGTGTACCAGGTTTGGGTAAGACCATAATTTTATTGCAATTTTCCTTCTTTTAGTTCTATTACGAGTTCGGGGACTAGCCAAGTGACTCTGGAATTATAGCCTAACCCCAACCTGTTACACATACTATGTTCCTGTGTCCGCCATCTTGGTTCACATACTTTAGGAGTACTAAGATTTCGTCTGAGCAATCAAGAATTAGTCATGATGGGGCTACAAACTATGGATTGACAAACATTTACCTTTACCATAAGCGGCCATTTTAGTTTCTGTTAAAAAATTTGAGAAAACTTAATGTATGTCAGAAATTTCGACTTTTGCTTCAAAATTAAAAAGTCTAAAACGAAAAAATTAATTAAAAAAATACGACTCATAAAGTCATAGCAAATAATCTTCTGTACACGATGACCAGACAGTTTTATTAACATAGTTGGTCAGAGTGAATTATAAGAATACCATTGATTTGATAAATCTGTCAGTTACTGCTTGTCTGGAGCCTTGCTCAGGGTGAAGTATAACAATACCATTGGTACCAATACCATAATTTAGATATCTAATCTATTTAATATATACAAGTCGTAGTCTTAATGGTTGAGTGGTTGTTTGGGATCTTTGGATCAGACCCTGGTAGTTTAGAAGCATTAGGTGCCTTTAAATGAAGTAAATCATCTTCATATAAAGATAGATGAGTTCAGTTTTCTTCTGAGCAAAGACAAGAAAAAAACGACTGGATAAAACAAAATAATTTTTCGAAAGCTATTTTATCCAATATGCCTTTTATGCTTTGCAAATCGTGAAAAATGAATTCCAATATCCTTATTGGTGAAATTTATTCCCCATAATTTTATTTAGCTGTTAAAATTAGACCCCAAAAGAATTGTGATGTAGTGCAAAACGAAGGGATAATAAAATTTTTAAATTAGTTTTATTCCTTCCTATTTCCTAACATTTTATGAAGTAAGTAACCACCAAACATAAAACACCCAAATTACTTACTTCTCGGGTCCTCCAGTTTTCTTAGTCTTATGAGGAAACTCATCGTTCCTAACAATTTTTCCTCTTCTGTCACCAACTTCCTGAATCTTGAAAATCAATCCTGCATTGAATGCTTTTATGAGTAAGTTGAGACATATCTCTCCATGGAGAGAATATGGCAAATATTCAGTGAATTCTTGAGCTTCATATGAAACCTCCTGAAGAAACAAACAAAACTAATCATCTCTCATACCTGGGAGTTTGTTAAACTGATATAAATATCAGAATATCTATGAAAGTTTAGCAGAATTTAAAAATTTTCTAACAAAATACTTGGTGTTTCTAATAGATTATTTCAACTTGACAACCCAACAACCTAATTAAACATTGAAATCAGAAATTATAAGGAAGTCTGCTAAATATTTAGCTTGTCGTGATTTTACTGCACCATTGAATCAAATTCTAAATTGAACATAGAAGAACAAAATTCTATGAACAAATTAAATTCAAACAAACCACGAGTTTAATATTACTCAAGTTTCAACAAGCATGATCTATATATGGCTATGTTATGATTTTACTGCACAAATGGCTTCTATATTCGAACTTTTTCTCAATAACAAACCTTTCAAAGCTTTGATTTCCATTAGAACTGAATTCAATCAGCATACCAGTTTAAATTAATTATAGATGGACAAAGCATGAACCAGAGTAAACCCATATAAGCATTATACAAAATACTGCCTGATTCTGTATATTTCTATGAGAAGCAATAACTCATGTGAGTGAATGCAAACATTTAGCAATACTTCTTTCAAGCTTCTGGACTGTGCAATGGCCTAACGCAGTGGTTACCAAAGGGTGTACCTCGGTGCACTAGTGTTACGTAACAATAGAGATTGACACTGCTTGCTGCAATTTCCCAAGCTGCAGTTTATTTATCTGTTGAGTTTGTTTAAAGTTTCAAAATAAAATCAGGCAGAGAAAAGTTGACATTAGGCATATATGTTTACAAACATAAAGTACACATTAATGATCACAATATTGAATTTTATCCAAATCTTTTTTCATTAGTGCACCATGCCACCGTTAGCAGTTTTTTTCCTAATAATTCAGCGCCGCACAAACAAAAACGAATATAATAATATCTCCTTAAATAGCTCTGTCTAAATAGCTCAAATTTCATTAAATATAATTTATGACAGAAATAACGTTTTATCCTGGGGAGAGAAAAGGGATAAGACGACTTAATCAAGTGGCGAACCACAGCCTCTCATCCGGTTACCAGTCTATAACACGTAAGAGATTGTTTATCCAGTTATTCGTTTTCGGAAGTATGGACTTGATGGTGGAGGAGGCTGTAACAGACCAGTGATTACGTGAATCAGCCTACTAAATATTTGTGACTGCTTGTATAGGGCCTTGTTCAGAGCAAAAGGCATGAATAAGCATCGCATAAAAAAGTAACATGACAGTACCATTATAAGGGATGTATTTGCCATTATATCAAAATCACCATATTTGGAGCATTTATGAAATCAAAGGGTATGACAGAAAATTTTCGATTTTCCATCCACGTTTTTGTTCACATCATGTTTATTCAGTAAATTTTGACATATATAATGATTTTGCTTCTTGATTGATAATAAGATATATATTTGTGACCCCTCAATGAATGGATTCAAGAAATTCACAATAACAATAATTGTACCAAAGAATTCTAGGCGAACTATCAGGTTGTGGGCATCCCTAAATATTACTTTTACCAAATTGTGATTCTTCATTTATTGCACTGGTATTTAAATAACTCAGGAAAGAAATTTAAATCAATCGATGTTCAAATATGCTGATGTGCAATGGGGATTAATATTAAGAACAACAACCTTCTTGAATAAGAATCTTGATTTCAATAAATCTATAATTTATTTCTCAACCGACAAATAAATTTGTTTCATAACTCACCTTCAGACTTCCAGCAGGAAATGAGTAGGTGATGACAAAAGTCTCCTCTCCTTCATATCCTGGCAGTGATTCTTGCAACCAATCCCATGACCACTTCCCATCAGATGGTTGTTGGTTGATGATTCTTAGACCAGATTTAGTTTGACTTGAAGACTGAGATTCTGCACCTGGATAAATAAATCCAAAACTTGTAGCAAAAAAAAATGTTTGTTCTTATTTAAGCAAAAATGCTTGTAATTGATGGGTTTAAGTATATTTAAAATGTACCACGATATGAGAAAATTATAATTTGAAAGAATGAAAATTATGGTTCCTAGATGTAATTAAGCTATTGTGTGGTTATTTGAGTTTTGTGCAATACCATGGTCTAGTGCAGGGTTTCCCAAACCAGGGGTCGCGACCCCAAATGAGGTTGGAGTGATGAGTAGGTAGGATCGCAAACAGGTCATGGGGTCGGCGGGGTCGCTGAGGTATGGTAGAGGATGTACAAAACATCTAAGATTCGACAAACCATGTTGAATTTAGCAGTTTGTACCATGGCTTACTGTAAAACAGGCCCATAGGCATCGTTCTATGCTCATGCTATAAACATAGCACATTTTCTCTCATCTCGATTTACCTTGGTCAAGCCAAATCCAACGTAACTGTCGTGCCATTATCGTATTTTGAGCATTGGGAATTTACAAATGGGTTTTGCGTCTATAATATGATAGTGACGGTTATCTCCCAGTCTAGTGAAACTGCCCGTTTACAGGTTAGACGGCCTATGCATCAGACAAAATATTATAAAATTCACTGTCATCGATAAACATGAGTATTTGGCTGGTTAATATACCTATAATATTGAAAGCCTAAATGTGGAGTGCATTAAAAAAACAGTGCAACTGCACTTGATTTAGAGCAATGATGGGCAAATTACAGCCCGTAGGCCAGATCTGACCCGAAGAAGTGTTTCATCTGGCACAAATCAGCACAGCAGCTTCTACGTGGGCGTATCCAGGACTTTTAAAAAGGGGGGTTCCAAAAAATCAGGATAAAAAATTCCCATGCAACGACTCTAAAACAAGTGCTGCGATTGCGACACTCTTTAAAATAGAATTTTTCAGTGGATTATGATTTTTCTGTTGCGCAAAATATTCAATCTGTGGCTGATACGGGCATTTAAAATGTCTTGCCATTATTTTGATTATGTTCATCGTGTCGACTAAGGTAAAATAAAAGCACTACTACTCTAAAATACTACGGTAACCTACGGACATGAAATACGCGATAAACTATTGACCGGATTATAAATAAATTGGATTCAGATTTTTGCGACCTTGAAATTTGTCACTATTCATTTGGCACTTAAGATTATTTTTGAAATATCATCGTTGGAAAAATTCCAGGGTCTTCATGTTTTTGGGAAATTCATATTTCCCGACAAACGATAAAAGGCAACCCAACATAACGTGTGCCGTCAATTTTGCGATTTACACAATCAAAGCATTTTTAATCTGTTGCGTGCCTCCTAAAACAAAACCTATGGTGTTTTCCTCTGTTTTATTTTTTAATATTTTACATTGTCACTTTTCAATCCATGAAGTTTGATTGTGGATTCAGTTTCTTAATATCAAAACGCAGTCACGACAGCCCGCAATTACCAATAACAATTTAGAAATCCAGAAAACCTTTACTTCAGTTTTAAGCTTTCCGATCTCAATTTCTATTTTCGTCTTTTCTATTTGCATTCGCTTCATTACCTCTCTATGCTCTTTTCGCATTCTTTCCGACTCTTTTCTGACTTAAACATTTTCTTCTTCTGGAATTATTAACCCTACCCAACCGGTCGGTCTGGTGCCAGTTTAAATGCGTTATTTTTTTGTCAACCATCAGACCCTAAAGCTTCTCTCAAGGCTTTTAAATAGCGTGTGCTAGAGTTCTATTCAGCAATATATGTAAAACGCACTCCTCTAAAAAAAAATTTTTGTATGCCAAAATTTTTATTGAACTTGCGAGATTTTGTGTTTAGTAGAGGGTTAATAATTATTCCTAATTAATTAATTTTTATTTCAACGTTTTCTTTTGTTATTTTCCAACAGAACAACACCAAAACCACTATTATAGCAAGAATGGTTACTCCAAAATTCACGATTGTATTTACAGAATTTTCAAGTTCAAGGCTTCAATTAACAATTTTGATGACGTCACACCTCTAATTATTATTGCACACGCCATGCGAAAAATGTTACTTTTTCAGACGAAAATGCACGTAGAAAGACGTAAACATTCTAATGCGCGTCGTTACACATGAAAATTACCATTAATTTTACGTTTTTTTCACGTTTAAAAAATCTCGATACCTCTGCCAAGTATGGTGCAGTCGAAATCATATTTATCAAAACATCACAGCGCCAGGGATGATATGTATGACTGAAAATACATGCTAAACCAATAATAAGTCCTCATAAAGGAGTTAATGTTATTGATTTCCTGTCTGAGTCGCGTCAACAATTTCACACATCTGACTGGCGATTTTGAAATCGACGCTATTTATACGATTCGCACTTTACGTCACGGCTGGAGTCTCTTTTTCGTGAAATATACGACTACTACTACTATAGAACATTGACAGTAAAATACTATTAATACCTTTTAGAGTTGGACTGGGCATGAATAATACTGAGTATATGCTATCGGGCTGTGTTGATAGAGAAGAATTGGCCAACACACAAAAATCGAGTTTGAAACAAGTTTAAACAAATTGAATGTTTCAAAACTAAATTAAAAAAAAAAACTAAATTTGAAAGCCCGTCACAGTAAACGTCTGTATTTATGTAGCAAATTTATAATGTAAACCTAAGCTTGATTCACATATTTCATCAGAAAAAGTAAGGTGGCGTATATAAAAAAACTGCAATTTCAGGTGACATAGTACTTTTGGTGGCAAAATCAACACAAAAACTGAAAGAAACCCAAAACAATCAAATAGCTGCTTAAATTTACCCTTGGTTTTCCCTTTAAGCCTTTCTATCTCTTTCTCCATTTTCCTCTTTTCTTGTTCATATTTTAATTCCATCTGCTTCATTCTTTCTTCAAACTCTTCTTTGACTTTTACAACTTCCTTCTCTGGAGCGCTTCGTACTACAGAACCTGAAAGTATTGATTTTTCAATTTAGACGGAATAATAAAAAACCACAGAGCAAAATTAATCGATAAAACGAACCAAAATGTTCCCGAATGTTATATAAAACAAACATCTTGGGTATTATCACAATATGTCAGGTATGATTTAAGCTAGGCTTTGGGGAAAATATGAAATCTAGACTTTATTAAATAATAATTTTATATAAAAGTCTTGAAATAAACTTTGTTTCTGACTGAGTTCAAAATTTGCTACCGAGGTGAATTTATACTTTGTTCAATCAATTGTCCAATTTTTTGATTGAAGAAATATTCAATATTTCGATATTAAAAAGGATAGAATTTGTACCTGGATAAATAAAACCAAAACATGTAGCAAAAAAAAAGTTTGTTTTTATTTGAGGAAAAATGCTTGTGATTGAGGGTTCAATGATATTTAAAAGGTACCATGATATATAAAAAAAAAATTATAAATTAAAAGAATGAAAATTATGGTACCTAGGTAATTAGGCTATGGTCTTGGTATTTAAGTTTTGGGCAATGCCATAGTCTAGTGCAGTGGTTCTTAAACTAGAGGGTGCAAGAAGCTCTCAGGGGGGCGCAAGAGGTCACAAGCCCATTTGAAATCAGCATTAAGTCGCAATGCAATCAGTGTGGTTATTTGGCAGTTTTTAGTCGAGTTCCAAAAATTAGTTGTAAGTAAGTAAATCAAATAACATGCAATAATAAAAAAATGATACAACAAACGCTGCGATAGACTCACCTAAAATTAGCTATTTAACACCTGTAGGCGGCACACAGTTTATTGTTTTGAATAAAAATAATAGTTTTGCTGATGTGAGCCAGTTTGAGAAAATATATTAAAGCGCATAAAACGCATTTTAAATAAAATTCAGCTTGTATTTACGAAGTATTGCAAAATGTATGTATGATGACGATTATCTCAAGTATGGCTTTATTCATACGACAGTGAACGATGAGGTTATACTCCAATGCGTTTTTATGCCTATAAGCAATTAAGTTATGAGACCTATTCGCTTACAGCACCAACCTTAAACAAAGTAACCTGCCAATTACAAAGGCATTTGAGTTTTTTCAAAGCAAAAGGGGAGCGCAAAGTTTGTAAGATTTGGGGGCAAAAAGTTTCCAACCAATGGTCTAGTGCAGTGGCGCGAGAAGCTTTTAGGGGGGGGGGGGGGGGGGGCGAAAGATTTCAAGTAACCACACTTGGGACATTTTCATTGCTTGGCCAATTTAATTGGTCAATATCTTTATGTCGATGTAATAATGTGTCGTAAAATGGTGCAAAATGACCCCTTTCTTTCAATGTCACTACTCACTAGACTACGGGTGGCGAAATAGGATAAGCATGCGTGACCATATGCGTTGAAAATGTTTATTTGTGTTGACGTTTCTGCGAGCATTGATTTCCTTGTTTAGTGTCGTAACAATGACCAATCAGCAAAAAGTCAACAATGATGTTACAATCGTGGTCGGCCAGACAGATGTTCGAGCATGGCTGGAAACGTTTTCGTGGTTTTGTGTAGCCTGTTTGACTGCTTTTAGTTGTGCTTCCAAAAATACCTCTATAATAGGGTTACCATATTTTTGTGACTTCAAAGCGGGACGCCTCGAAAGACAACGACCCCATGGCTGTGATTTTATAACTTCACATTTTCCGATTTTACTACATAGGCCTACATTCCTACATTTAAAGCTGTCTCGGCTGTCTTTATCGACAATATTGTTATCAAAATTTCATGCGCATGTTCTGTCAAAATATCGGGTTCAGTTCGAAAAATAGGAAGGAATTGACGTTAATGATACCAGTACAAATAATTCGAATTTAGACTAATTAGTATTGGTTTTACATGCGATACGGCTGTCATCAATTGGAATCAGCGGGAAACGAACGCATTCACCTCCAGTAAGTAGGCTAGCGCTGCGCTACACAGAAACAACAGCAACGAGAACATGTTTGTGTATTATGCTGGAAAAGCGGGACTTTTGTCTGACTTATCGGGAGGGCGGGACAAAACGCTGAAAAGCGGGACGTATGGTAAGCCTATGTATATCGGATACCTTAATTTTCATTATGTTTTTCAATGGCCTGTAGTTAAGTTGCAATAATTAATAAAAGTTGATACCGCAAACTCTGTGATGACCTACCTTAGGCTATAAGCATCTGTAAGCGGCTTTTAGTTTTGAATAAAATTGACAATTTTGACCATGTGATCTATATCTTTTCTTTGTGCTGAAAACGTACATATATTTATTTGCACTTCCACATTTTGTAAACTGTTTGTAATCTAATCAGAAAGTATTGGCTTTGAATCTTTGAGAAGTTAAGCAAGCCAAGAAGTCTGCAATCGTTTTATATTTTAAGAAACAATAGATTGATTTTTGAATAGCTCAATAGTGATATTACGAAGTAGTTGAACAATTGAGTGAGATTTTATGTTTGTTACGTAATCATTTATTGCGTTTAGTTTAGATTTTGTTAAAATTTAGTGGTATTGCAAAATGAGCGGAAAAAAGAGAAAGTATAATAACGATTATCTTAGGTATGGCTTTATATGTACGACAGCGAAGGGCGAGGTTGTACCGCAATGCATTTTGTGCTTTGAAAATCTGAGCAATGACGCTATGAGACCAACTCGCTTACAGCGCCATCTTATAACAAAGCACCCTGCCCATCAGGAAAAGCCTTTAGCTTTTTTTCAAAGCAAAAAGGATTCTTTGAAAAGAATGAGGAGTTGTAGTATAAATTCATTTTGTCAGTCGCCTTCTGCAGATGTAGTTGAAGCTTCCTTTGAAATTGCTCTTATGATTGCGAAGCAGAAAAAAACACACAAAATAGGGGAGACACTGATAAAACCAAGTATTTTGAAAGCCGCGAGTCTTGTTTTGGGAGAGGCAAGCAGTAAGAAGCTTGCAAAGATTTCTCTTTCGGATTCTACAATTAAAACAAGAAATGATGAGATCGCAAACGATATTGAACTTCAGGTTATCGAAAAAATAAAGGTGTCGCCTTTTTTCGCCATCCAATGTGACGAAACTACTGAATTCGGGGATGGCCAATACTGAATAATTCACTATTTCGAATACATTCGAAATTAATTTTTTCGAATATGAAATTTCGAATATTTCGAAAATAAATTCAAGCTTATCTCATTGTATGGCGGTATTAGCATAGAATAAACTAATCAAATAATTGACTACGGTTTCATTCGTGCTTACATAGCGAAGCTGGAATTATGGTATCGCCGAGCTCAACAAGGAAACGCGGCGAAAAAAAATCAAGCTGGACGGCGATTTCAAGAGCGATATTGTGTCCCACCTTCGTCTTTTAAAAGAAGAATTTGAACACTATTTTCCAGATTTAAATGACACAGAACTTCCAGAATGGAGACTGACAAGAGATCCATTTCGTCTTGATGAAGACATTCTTCCTAGCGACTTGCAAGAAGAATTTTTGGATATGAAATTTGATTCATCTGCAAAAGACGACTTTGAAGCCATGCAGCTAACCGATTTCTGGGCAGAATATGTACACATATAAAAGAGAGTAGGTAGCGTAGCAATACGCACTCTTCTTCCGTTTTCACCTTTGTGAAAGCAGGTTTTCTAATCTGGTGAATATAAAGACAAAACAAAGGAACAAACTACAATGTGAATCAGATATGCGATGTGCGTTATCTGCTACAGTTCCTCGAATCAAATTACTAGTTTCGCAAAAACAGATTCACCCCTCTCATTGACGTTATTTGTGAATAAAATCTTGTTTCGTTGAATTCATTTTTGTACCTCAATTTATGGGGGCGCGAAATTTATACGATTTTTCAAAGGGGGGCGCGGCTCAAAAAGTTTAAGAACCCCTGGTCTAGTGGTTAAAGAGCTAGATTTAACTGTAGGATGACATGACAGATTACACATCATAGGTTCAAACCCTGTGTCATGTCAAAGTGTGTAAAAGATTGGGTAGGCAATGCCTTACAAGGGAAAATCTGGTCTTTAAAATAAAGTGCCGTTTTACATAACAAAAGATATCAGTGGCTGCAAGTATATGGCCTTGTTTGTAAATTAATGTTTTATAAAAATATTTAATGTGTCAAATGTCTGAGGTTATGAAGTAAAAAAACACCACTGACTCCAAATGTGCCAGGATGTGTTTATCCAATACCAAAGGCCTGGGTCAAAGACATACTAAAAAAATTACAGAATTTACTTATTTCAAATTATTTTATAGAGTTTATAATGTATTCATACATGCGACTGACTATTGGAAAGCCTGGGCTTGAAATTTAGTTTCGTTTGCACCTCTTAATGCACTTCAATACAAATAGTTTTTCAATATTTCCATATTTTTCGATTAATTAGCCACTGTTGCGTATACTCTGGGCCAATTGTTAGCCAAATGAGAGTTTTATGAAAGATATTCCAGATTCACATTGTAAGACCGCTGTTTCATAAAAAATGACAGGGAAAGTGCGTCATCTTTGTTTTTCAGTATTTATAGTATGATAAACCTTTATGATAAATCTTTATTTTTATTACCATTAGCTGGTCTGGAACTGGCAGTGCCATAACCAGATGCAGAATATCCTTCCTCATCATCCTTTAAAGAGCTTGAAACAGGTAGAGCCAAAGGTTGCTCTGCCTTCGGCTTTTCTTCAGCTTTTAAAGATGCTCGTGAAAATATTTCATCGATAAGCAAATCATTGCATTTATCTGATTTTTTCACTAAGGGTTCAATTCGAACTGTCTCTTTTAGGAATTCGAGAGATAAATCTCCAAGTTTCAGCAAGCTAAATAGATCTTGGAAGATTTTTCTTCTGTTTTTGACATCATGTTTCACCCATTTCATCATCCCCTCATATTTGATAGCTTCAGAAGAATACTTTGTTTCTGAATATTTGAAAAGTCTCAGTATGTCGTCCTTGCTGATATCAAGAAATTCCTTTTTCTTGCTAATTTGTTCAAAATTTGTCTCCAAGAATAGAATAATGGAATCTTTTACTGTCGTTTGTTTAGGAGTTTGATTGGTTTCAGAGAGATTCTTCAAGATAAAGCAGTTGTCAATATCAAGGTTTGTCTCAAGTTTTTTGACATCAGAAAACAATGCAGTGATTACGGATTTCTCAGCTGTTTTATTGTTCTTAACAATGGGTTCTTTGAGGACAGTTTCCAGAAGAAATTTGAAGGGAAATTGCTCGATCTTGAAGAGTTCAGAAACATCTACATTATCTTTTCCTTTTGCCCATGTTACCACAGCTTTCCATAATGTTTGGTAAGTCTGGTTACTTATGTAATGCAAGAGATCTGATTTGGTGATGAATGGAAACATCTCGGAAGAAATAACAGATTCGAAATTATCAATCACGACCTGTACGGCTTGTTGTTTTATATCAAGACGATCGTACATTTGGGCCAAGTTGATTACAGAGAGACAATTTATTGGAGAAATGTTAATTTCCAAGAATTGAAAACAAAGATTCGTTAATTCCTCCATTTGTAAAAGATTGGAAGCATGCAGGATATGCTGAATGTTTTCTATTTTCAAATCTGCCTTTCCTTTATACATGAACTCTACACATTGTGCGATCCCATTCTGATTGACATCCTTCATATTAACGTGACCATCATGAACTTCCTTCAAGTTGCTTGAAAACATGGATTCAAAATATTCTGAAGAGGCTGCCAAGACAGTACGATGCACTCGGAATGATATTTCACCAACGTTGATGTTGAAATCGCAAAGAAACCCTTTCTCTTTGAACCTGTCATATGATGTCATGAGACGATCTGACTGTTTTGCTCTAGCCTGGTCTATTACTTTCGAATTCATCTTCATACATTAACAGACACTTACAATTTAATCGTTAAACTAAGATCTAAAAATATTAGTTTGGTTTTTTATCAGGATAAAATGCACAAACACACGTTTATCTATTACAAATTAGCTTCAACTTTACTAGTTCAGCTCACAAACGACATTAAACATTGTGTCAATAAGTTAATAATAAGTATTTGTCTAGATCAGTTGTTCCCAATATAGGCGATATTGCGCCCGATCTGCAAAAGCGATACAGAAGGGGGCGAAAAAGTCAAAGAAAGCGATAGGGGGACAATTTTGCCAAACCTGTTTTTGTTCGACGGATGGTGCATCGGACATTTGATTGCTGTACTCTGAGCGTGTTCCCAGGTTTGAATCCCGTGGGCGATAATCACACGAAAAAAGGTTGCTGGACTCCTCCCCGCCGTGAGGTGGTTTGCAAAGCCCATGGGTCTGCAATCTAAGGGCCGCGGGCCAGATAATTAGACAAATGGCAACACACAGAAAATTTGAGGCTAAGTGCAGGGTTTCAATAGCGTAGAAAATATTTAAATGGAGCCCCTTGAGATGCAATGCAATAAGGAAAAAAAAAATTATATTCTATTCGAGAGATGCATCACTGCTTGATTTTTATAAAAATGTATTTTCATAAAGTAAATCTCTATCAAAATTTGACAAACCATCCGAAAAAATTCACTTCAAGGTTTGGAAGTACATATATGTGTGAACAAATATTTTCCAAAATGAACATTACAAAGAACAAGCAGAGAACTAGAATTAGCAACAAGACAGTGTCACATTAAATGTCAAACGTAATTATTTTTTTAATAAGATGAATGAGTTGAGTTCACTGGTTGTTGCAGTCTTCGAGCACGACCACTAATATAGCTCTGGCTTATATACTACAATGTGGCTATAACTTTCAAAGTGTAAATGGGAAAGGCTATGGCAAACTGGAAAAATATAGCAATCACTAATTTCATTATAATCTAACAAAGTAAACTCTGGAATATAATTTGGCTCAAGGTGTGGACCATTTTTTAAACAGAATTATAACAAAGTTGAAATTTAGAAGTTCTACACCAGACTAAACCAAGCAGGTATTAATAATATTTTCCAAGGCCCTAAAAAATTCCCTGTGTATTCATACAAATTAAAATTTTGAATAAATAACTTGGTATAAATTAAAAGGGATTTGGTATAAAAGTATGTGAATTTGGCAATGTACATTTTCTGTTTGGTTGATGTCTCTTTCCTGGTATATTAAGTCAAATACATACATATATCCCCACATATAGGCCGACCCCATAAAAACGCCCATAAAGAGTGAATTTGTAGAAAAAAAACTCATATGAGCCGATACTGCAAATTGTAACACGCCGTATGCACCTACTATCACAGCAAATTGTTGCAGAATTGAATTAAGTTAGCATAATGTCTTTTCGTTTGAGTACGATCAGAGTTATGGATATATAAGCCGACACACAATTTTGGCAACTTTTCTCTAGTTTTAACTAGGCTTATATGTGACGATATAGTACTCAATCATTTTACCAAATCAAAAATCACAATAAGTCATCCATAACTCTGCTGAGACTTTCAGAGCATAATAAAATCTGATTCCCTGATTACTGTAATTACATGCACAAATTGGTACACTTTAAAAGCTGTTTTACGTATTCTGCTACAGGTAATATTTTATATCAAATCAGTTTTACGCTATTAGTCTACAAATTGAAAGGTTCAGACAACAGCGCTAAGTTCAATTCAAACTAGGTTCTGTCACTCATATTAATTTTGGATAATTGGTTTTCCTTAATGCCAACCTTGCCATTCATTGTATCCTGGAATCAAAAAATATTTATCTCACACAAAAGTATTTACTGCAGCGGCTCCAAACCGGGGGATACAGAGCGGTCGGAAGAGGGCGCAGAATTGATTTCCCATTTGCTTTCACAGGAAAACTCCCCATTCTTACTAGTTTCATTGCCTTATATGGTTATTTCACAAGGTGTTTCACATTGTTGAGCATGAATTGTTTGAGCATTCTGGGATTTGAAATCTACCAATAATAATAACAATATAAATACCCCTGAAATGATAAACAGAGGGGCCATTAGTGCTAAAAACCTCCGGAAGAGGGCCATTGGGAACCACTGACTTATACTGACACTGCAATATAACTGAAGCAAAATGCAGTCAATTGTATTTTGAATAGTGTAATGATTTTTACCTGTGTTCCAGCAGCAACATATAGTAGATTTCAATGAAATTGCATCAACACTTTGAGAGTGATAACACAACCCAGGTGTTATATAAATCCCGCTCAACTGCCCACAAAATATATGATATTAATAAAGATATACCTACTACCAATGGAAGCTATCTATCTATCTACTTACGGGTAATCTACTCGACTACAGTTACCTAATACAAAACTGGAGTTAGACCGTTGCTCATATTTCCTAGAAAATTCTGTGTTGCAGAAAGTGGCATTTTTTTGTAGTTGCCACAAATTGTTATTCCTCGTTTCTTCAGTTTGCATTGCTCATACCAAGCCTATAGGATAGGATTTACATATTGATCCGGGAAGAGGGAAGCCGATAGGACGGCTTAACCATAGGGGAACCCACAGTCCTCTCATCTGGTTACCATTCCATGTCGGGTATGGGATTAGATAGTTATTTGTTTTCGAAAGCAGGATTGATGGTGGAGGAAGCCGTAACCAACCAGCGGTTACGAGCACCATCCCACAGCAGCGAGGAGTCCAGCAATCCTCTTGCACTAACTATCTCCACATGGGATTCAACTGCGAACCACACAGAGTAATCAGAACCATATTCCTAAACTTAGCATGATGAGACACACCGCATCGCTGCCAATATATTCAAATATACTGGAATCTTGAAGAGATAATATGGATGGTGAATTTGTCCATACAAATTGATTTTACTGAGCACAATCTTGGACCTTTTCTTAAATATTCACCTGTTGTTCCACTAATTCTCTGATATGTTTCATAATTTCTTTCAATAATAACCATTATCTGCTTTTTCAATTTAATAACTGTGCAACAAAGTTTGGCCGGCAACAGTTTTCTATCGCTTAGGTTTCGATGCATATGCAACAATTCAAATTTGTAAACAACTTTTTCTTGGTCATGAGGGGCTGGCTTGCATTTATTTTTGGTAATGAAAAAAATCAAATAGTCTACCAGGTCATAGTCAGTGTACTTTATCAAAGTATTTTATCTATGTTAAAATGTAAATACTGCAGGGAAATCCGTTTTTTCATCAGCGGTATTCGCGATCATGCGCCTAACTGTAGCCATACCCAACCCCGACTTTGATGGCCAAAACAATTTTTCGGTTTGTACCATTCCTAGTATATGCAAGAGAACTGCTAGTCTTTCTGCTATTACAGGGTAGATCTCATAATTCTGTAATTGCTGATCTGTACAGCTTGTTTCACTAATCAATCCATACATTTTAAGCAATCAATTAGTTCAATAAACAATGCCAGTATTCCCATACCAAAGTTGGATTAACCGTACTGTCAAACTGTACAGCTGTAATGACAGACAGGTGACAAAATAACTGGACATGGTTCGCCATACGATTTATAATCCAGCTTATCAAGGTTATTTATAATAACAACAAATATAGTAATATAAATACACCAGTTCAGGAAAAATGTAAGTAAAACAGAAAATAGCTAAAAAGAGATTTATACCCACTTACAACTACCCACTTTCTCAGCCCTCTTACAGCTGTTTTGAATCAAGCAGAAAACAAGGAACTACCGGTAATAATTCTGGGGTTTTCAACGAATTCCCACACAGTAAAAAAACTCCCCCATTGAAAATATTTCTTCAAATAAACAATTTATAATCCTACACAGAATTAAAGTTTACAGACAATAAAGCAAATTTTTTACATCACTTAGACTTATTGAGTAATTAGGGGTAATATTCGCAAACCATGGAAGACTATACAAAAATAGTTAGATTTATGAGGGGGGAACACTATGATTCCATGAAAAAAATATGCAAGTCTGAAGGTTTAAAAACAAAATAAAATACCATCAGAAACTTGCTTACTACTTTGGACAACGAATTTGATCATCACAAGTTGAAATACAAAAGAACAGTGGGCAGCAAACTTTATGAGTAAAATGTACTAAAAAAATCAAAAATCTATTTTACTCACCTTTAATGCAAACTCAACAATTTGGGACCAAATTCAAATATCAATTCGCTTTTGGAAGAAACTTTAATCACAAGCATGTGTTTTATTCACAACTCTGTAGAGGCTTTAAAAATCAACAAAAAAGAGATTGTTTCCATATTTGGCGGAAACAAAATTTGATACCGTGATTTTGAAAAAATTTTGAAGCCACGAGTATCATATAATAAATGATCAGAAATGAAGTGTGACTTAAGGTTATATAAGCCTTCAAAATTTTAGATGACTGTCACAGTCTTTCGCGACTCCTTATCTATTGTTAAGAATCTCTCACTCGTATGAATTCTTATGTGTATAATTACATTTCTTACGATTGTCATTATACACGTTCGTCAATTTTTTGTGCTTTAATTTTTGTGTTTATTCTTGCATGTTAGAAATAAATCATCTGAATCTGTAAGAATAAATTTTCGTGTATTTCAGTATTCTGCTTGCCTGGAAGAAAAAAAACAATGACAAGACAATATGGAGCTAATCATTCAATGAATTTAATTTTGATCTTATAATACAAAACAATGTAACAACAGCAAACCACACGGAGAGCAAACATAACTTAGGATGAATTTGAATATGTATGCGCACCATATCCACCCAACATGACAACAAATGCAATCTAAAATTATGAGGTTTAAAGAAATTTGTAATAAAAATATTTGTAGCAAGGCAATAGATTTCCAGCAATACTAAACAAAACCTGTTGTCCATAGTCATGTTCGCAGTGGACACACGAAAACATGTTATAAAAAATAAAGTACCTCCTATTCCAAACATCACTAACCAACAATGCATCTCAGCATGAAATATGTCCTTCATATTGATGTAGATCAGTTTAAAAAGCACACAAACGCATATCACAATTCAAATTTCATTATATTAGAGAATCTATAAAATGCTATAGAAATTTGATGCAATATTTGTTCATGTTTTTACTCCCAACAGGGCAAGCAGACACTAACATGTAAGAAGCTAATTTTTTTGAAACAACCTAAATATTTTTTGGGGTCGATATTGTCTACTCAATTTATTACACACTAGATGAGGTGGTGTGCATGGAATCAAAGATGTGTAATACATGTTAACCACTGAGCCATCGCTTCTGATTGTTAGGGCATACATGATCCAAACTTTTCGTGAATAACTAGTCTGTTGTTATTACTGATTTGGGGATAATAGTGCATGTTTATCTATGTAGGGACATGCTGTGTCTTCTAGTTTCGCAGAGTTGTGAAGCTAACTATGATAGACAGAAACTTTTATGGCCACCGCACATTAGGGAACATGATGATTCTTAAAGAATCTAGTCAAACAAATGTTGGTTCAGCATAGTTACAATTGGACCAAGTTAGTACACTCATGTCATGAATAATTCATGATAGTTTGCTGTAAGTGTTTCATTTT